GATCTATAACAAAATAGTTATTCTTTTTTCTTTAAAACTATATCACCACGTCTTTGAAAACAATGAAGGCGACGGTAATAACTTATCGCGAGACATCCCCTTCACACAAATACCCGAAGCAATGCTGTGGGCGACATCAACTGAACACAAAGGGACGGACAACTCGGACCACTGCGCTGGGTTCCAGTGAGTTTCTTGTGAGAACCCCCGGGGTTGTCTTTGGCTCCCATCAGCATGGGGGGTGGTGGTGAGGGGGGTCAAGGATGGCATCCGAAGGCGGGGGGGGGGGGTGGGCAGAGCTGGTCCCTTTGAGCACTCAACCTACTGGGAATCTTCAATGCTAGCACTTTCCAGGCAGGGAGGACCGAGAGCCACAGGGAGAAACTCTCCTGGTCCACCCCTGGACGAACCCCGTGAAGTCACCCAGTCTTGTGGGGAGGGGGGGGACTGGAAAGGTGCTCAGATCCATCATGGTACCAAGGAACCGAGCTGGCTGAGGGAGAGCCGCCCACCCCAGGCTTCATCCCACCCAGAGGGAAACCGCCCCAAGCTCCTCCTCTGTTCCATCTCACCCGTGAGCCCCATCCCACGCGAGCTTCCGGAGGCGGGGCTGCTTTCTGGGGTGGGGTGTGGAGGGGGAGGATGGCAGCTTTCCCCAAAATAATGTTAAGGCCACATTTCAAAGAAAAAAAGACCAAAAAACAAAGGAAAAGCCTAAGGCTTTGGTTAGGGGTGTGAGGGAGAGGGAGAAGGGGAGGGGAGGGAGGGGAAACATAACCTGACAGAAAGTGAAGACCTGCTGGGGATGGGCGCGGGCGTGCTTCCGGCAGGGAGGGGGTGGGGAGAGGCCACTGCCTCCCTGCATGGGGCAAGGACAGAACCAGAGACAAGGCTAGGGGCACATGGGCCGCACGTGACGGTCCCCTCGGTCTCAGGAGGATCCTGTACAGTATCTGGTTTGCAAGGTAATAATAATGATACTAATACTTCAAGGTTCGAGAGACGGAACTGAGGAAGAGAGAGGAGAGAGAGAGAAAGAGAGAGAATATTTGCATAGATTGTATTCAGCCCCAGAACACCTGGACATCCCAGCGTGACCCCCCCCCCCCAGGTAAACTTCTCAGCAGACACAATGAGGTAGCGCCTGTGGTTGACCCTATGGGGCAAAGGAAGGGAACTGAGGCAGAAGCTAGAGGACCCCCCTTGAGCAAGCATGGCTCCTGGTGCCTTCCGAAAGAAGTTTCTAGAAGTGCCAGTGTGACTGTCAGGACTTTGAGATCTGGAGAGAGGCCAGCTGCTTCCCCACCACTTCTTCTCCCAGACTCTGGCTGGGCCACGGCAGCGGGGTTTGATGGGATCCCAGGAGACGGGGGCAGGGGTGGGGTGGGGAGGAGGCATCTGCGTGGGAACGCAGGGGGCTGCGGTCCGGGCCTCTGAGACACGGGGGTACCAACGGGCCGGCCGTGAGTCGGGCTCTGTGATGGAGACGTGCAGTCAGAGTCTGAGCTCCCTGATAAGCCATACTCCTTTTGCTTCTCCCTCATGCTAGTTTCTTCTCTTTAAATCACTTCACCAGCAATGTCTGCGCGGAATTACGAATATTCTTTCCTTTGCCTCAGTTCAGCTAGGAAAAAAATAAGTAGCTAACACTGAAAAACTCAAATCTGTTAAAATCTGGACTTGTGACTGCTCTTATCCAAGTGGAAGATTCCACTGCTCTGAGCTAGCATTTTGTTGTTGGTGGTGGTGGTGGGGTGGGTCTTGAACTCTGGACCTGGGTGTGGTCCCTGAGCTTCCTTGTGCTCAAGGTTAGTGCTCTACCATTTGAACCCCAGAGCCACTTGCGGTTTTTGAGTGGTGAATTGGAGGTAAGAGTCTCAAAGGGACTTTTCTGTCCGGGCTGGCTTTGAACCATGATCCTCAGATCTCCTGAGTATCTAGGGTTACAGGTGGGAGCCTCCAGCACCTGGCTGAGCTGGCATCCTTACACAGAGTGACAAGCTGGGGCCCAGTCTCAATTGCTCTTTCTGGATGGGTCCTATGCAGGGTTCTCTGTTTTCCAGCAATGCTTCCACACACGCATGCTCTGGGCCTTGCTAAATTGCGACTCCTACCACTGAGCACATGCTTTATCTGGCATGTCTTTGTTGCGCTCTCAAGGTAAGCCGGTGGACAGCCGTTTCTAGAACATGTCCTCCCTGTAAATGCTGCTGGTATCTTGAACCCCCAGGGAACGAGAAAGGGGCATCCTTGCTCACCACCCCCAACTCCCAAGAGCCGCCGATCTTGCCCGCTTTGTCTTCCTTCCATCTGAAAACCAGGCCATTGTTCTTACACGGCCAGCTTGGGGTGAGAGACTGCACCTTTTTTTGAGGGGGGGGGGCTGTGTGGTCTTGCTCCCTGTCTCTTTCCTCCTCCAGTTGAATTCACAAGTTAAACAGAATGGGAAAGAGTGAGGAAGACTCTGGCTTGGACCAGCTCTTCCTAAAGCAAGGGGGTCTCCTGCGAAGGCTGCTTCGTGCAGGGCATGGGCAGTGAGCCTTTCACACTCTGCCTTCTCCCCAGGAGTCCAGACCTCGCCTTGCATCTCTGTCTCTGGGGCCTGAGCCCTGGCCAGTCTGCCCTCTGTAGATGGTGCCTCACTCACGCTTTTCTTGCTCATTCTGGTGCTTGAACTCTGGGCCTGGGTGCTGTCCCTGAGCTTCTTTTGCTCAAGGCTAGCACTCTATCACTTGAGCCACAGCTCTACTTCTGTGTTGTTTTTTTTGGGTAGCTAATCAGAGATAAGAGTCTCACAGCCTTTCCTGCCTGGGCTGGCGTCGAACCATGATCCTCAGATCTCAGTCTGCTGAGTAGCTAGGATGACAGGCGTGAGCCACGGGGCCTGGCTCTCACTCATGCTTTTGAAATCACCAGGGAGCCATGGCTCAGGGCTGCCGGCATTAAATAGCAAGGCCCCAGAACATCCCCATTCCCCTAGGAAACCACGTGTTCTCTCATCACGGTGGGCTTTGCTGGGAATTCTTTTCTCTTTTTTTTTTTAAACCAAATATAAGACTACAGAAATGTTCTCCGGTCCAACAACAGAGGAGTCAAAGAACAACGCCTCCCCCCGCCTTTCCACACCAATGGCGTGTGAGCAAATGGTGGTGAGCAAAGCCCGAGGGGAGGAGGGTGGTCCCCAGGGAAAGCCAGCTCTGGGTGAGCAGGGACCTTCCAGCACCTTCCAGGGCTGCGTTCCTAAAGTCACCGATCACATGGCAGGAAGCACCGGCACAGAGAAACCGCAGGCCCGGGACAGCTCAGGGCAAGGGAGGTTGCGTGCTGGACCCGAGGGCTCATAAACCCACGTGGAGATGCCACGGGCCACGGGACAAAGCCACGAGGCCCTCAGAACCCCCATGGCTGCCTCCTGAGTGATCCTGACCCCCCTCCCGGCCAGTGGGCTTGGAAAACCCTCAGTGGAGCAAGTGGGGATGGCCCTGCAGTTAGCTCACCCCATCTCTCCCCAAGCCTTCACCCTGTCACGTCCCTGTGTTGGCAGCCCCCCCCCCCCCGTGGCTCAGAGTTTCCTGTCTTGGGTTTGGGGGGACAGGGCCAGTATGAGGAAGAGCGAGGCTCAGATGATCTGGGAGGAACCCAGATCACCCCTACTCTACTCTGAGGACGAGGACGGAGGGCAGAGGTGGAAAGGCAGCAGCAACGGGGTGTGTGGGGGGGGGGGAGGATGGGAATGGGAGAAAGGAACGGAGCCTTTTGTGAATAAAGGCAGCTTCAGTTAGTAAGATAACATAATTGACAAGCTGTCAAAACAGCACCTACTAATTAGTCATTGACTAAAACATATAAATAATAAATATCTAGAGTCCCCTCTCTGTGTCCTCCGTTGCTCACGGGTGAGGGCAGCGGGGTGAGGGTGGGGGTCAGGCCACCACTGGGCCCGGCCGCGAGGGACTCGAGGACTGGCCGGCTTGCCTTGGGAAGCGCAGCATGGCTCTCCCCAGGGAGCCCTGTCATGGTGGGGGAGGGGCTGGAGGAGAAAGGGGGGCCCCTGGGGGGGTGATCCTCAGGTTAGAGGGCAGTGCCCCCCCCCCCCCAGAGTGCCCATGGCAAGAAACACTTTCGGTTTCTGCGAAGGTAAGCAACGAATGACAGCTGTTGTTTCTTCGTGTGGACAAGCCTCTCCCTCTGTTGGAACTCGGCTTCCGGGTTCCACGGGGCGCGTGTCTGGGTGGGCCGTGGGATCCTGAAGGTAGGATGTTGAAAACTGACTCTGAAATGCCTTCCTTGGGGTGGGAGAGGTTCACGGTGGGCCCGTGTGGCTTGCTCGTTGCCAGCAGCACCGAGTCACAAGCACTTAGGGGCTCCTGGCCTGAGGGTGGGGGAGGGGCCCGTGGCAGGCAGTGGGTGTTGCTGTGGACCCCCCAGCTCAGGAGCTGCTCCAAGCAATGTGTTGGGGAGGTCCCCAACCTCCCCCACCTCCCATGCCCTTTTTCTAGGACTGGAGGTTTCCCCGGGACCCAAGCTCAGATGCAACCCCCCCCGCCCCCTGCTCTGCGGGTGACAGCTATGGGGGAGATGGGTCTCCAGTCAGCCTCCGGGGGGGAGGCTGGTGGGGGGCGGGAGATGAGAGTCTCCAGGCCTGCTTCTGTCCCTGACCAAGGCCCCAGTAGCTCCCCAGCCAGAGTGTAGGGAGAGGAAGGGCAGGGCTGGTGCTGGAGGCCCCACGGTCTGGGCAGTACTTGTCCGACTAGGTAACGCGGTAGCCCTTGGTCAGGAAGAGGTACCGAAGGGCTGACCAGCCGGGTTGGGCCACAGAGGGGCCCCCCCCACGACTCCTCAGCCCCCACGGGCCTGAGCGGAGCTCAGCCCACGGTGAGCGTCCACACCTGGTGGAGAGCACAAAATCCTGCTGTTCAGCATCAAAGTTTGAAACTCACTTGTGGGGACGGGGCGGGGGGGGGGGGGGACAGGGATGATCAGGGGTGGGGGAGATGGGAACCTGTGGGAATGAGGTCAACCAGAAGGGAGACCCGCCGCCCCCTTCGCAAAGGCCAGACGCCCAATGCAGGCCAATCCAGCGGTGGCTTCCGAGGCTCCATTACCCTACGGGCTCGTGGGGTACCCTGCCCGGGGGGTGGGGGGAGTACCGCCTCACCTCGCCCGGGGGCGGGAAAGGCCGAGGTCCAGGCCCCACCGGCCGCCTCTGGCTGCTCCTCCACCGGGATCAGATTGTGGGGTTTTTTTGGGGGCCCGCGCCGGGGCTACCTGAGCCGGCCGTCGGGTTTGACGGCCCCCAGCTCTGACTTGGGGTCGGGGCTGAAGGAGCTCCAGGCTGTCTGGCTGCAGGCCGGCATGGTGGGGCAGGCGGAGGGGCCCACGGAGCACACCTCCATGGCCGTCCACATGGCGCCCACCAGCGTGTCCAGCCAGCCCTCCAGGGCTACGCCGGTGGACGCCGCGTTCCTCCGTGCCTGCTCCACCTGGGCCGGGCTGACGGGCAGGCCGAGGACCGGGTTCAGGCTCTGGAAGCTCTGCTCCATGTAGGCACTGCGGGGGGGCCCGTTGTGCAGCTTCAGCGCCTCCTCTGAAAGCCGAGGGGACAAGGATTGGATTAGAAGTGCAGCTGACAGGACGCCTCCTCACACCGTAGTGGGCCCTGTGCTGGGCACGGGGCATCACCTCACGTAATAAACAAATAAATATATAATATGTATATATTATAGCATATATATTTGGTGGTACTGGGGTTTGAACTCAGAGCCTTCAGTCCCTTAGTACTTGAATCATGTCCTCAGACTCTTTTTTTTTGCTTGAGTTCATGTTCAGATAAGGTCTCCCACTAGCCCCAGACTGTGATCCTCCTACTTCTGCCTCTCATGTAACTGGGATGGTAGGCGTGTACCACCACATCTGGCTTATTTGCTGAAGAGGGGGGCTTTGCTGACTTTTTTTTCCTTCCTTTTGCCCAGGCTGTCCTTGAACCACCATCTTCCTGGCCTCTACCTCCTGAGGAGCTGGGGCGACAGGCATGGACATCATGCCCGGTCCAGGACTCCAGGCATACACCCCTCTCTTCCCCTGCTGACATCATTTTCCTCCTGTCTGACGGGAAGTGCTCCTGGGTTTGTGACTCCGGGAGAGGAACAAGCCCAGATCCAGCTGGCCCTCTAGACCTTTCTCACAGACCCAGCCTACCGCAGGGCCAACACAGCTGGGGAAAAAAATTATGTCTGTACAGACCCTGAATGGGCTGCTTTAATTCTTGTCCTTGCTCCCTCCGCAATACAGCGCAGCCGCTATTTGCACACCATTAGCGTGCCATTAGAGCAAGTGGAGGTGATTTATATATGTAGGTTATAGGCAAACGCTCTGCCGCTCGGATGTGAGTGTTCAGAGAAGCTCCCAGAGCCATTTCCCACGGCCGGCCGGCCGTATGGTGCAAATGGAGGGAGCAGTGTTTTGAGGGTTCCCGTTTTGGGAGTCTGTCTTAGGCCAGTCTGTCCGTCCACCCTCACAATGGACAACACCGGTAGGAAACGCACTGGCTGTGTCTCTGCGGCCCGTGCTCTTCTCTGGGGCTGGCTGCTCATTCACCCCGATCTCGGCTTAGGTGAATCGTGTATTGAAGAACACGATTCCCATGCCCACTACGATTTCTACCCAGGAAACAGTACTCTGCTGGGACTCCATCTTGTTGGAAATACGATCCAAACTCTGAGGCCGGCCAGTCATGCTGGATACAACCTCAGCGGTGCAGGGAGGAGCCTGCGTGGCTGTCCAGGGCAAAGAGCCAGAAAAAGAAGCTCAACCCAGTGACTTTTGACTGCTCTGCCAGGCGGGCTGCATGGCCCATGGGTGAGCACCCTGTCTGAAAAGTTCCCAGGGTCCCACCTCCTGCAGGAGCACGGAGGTACTCACCCGGTTTGATGGGCTGCCTGTTGGAGAAGGTCAGAGGGGCCACGAGGAATTTGGTCTCAGCCACCGGCACCCAGTGGTGGAGAATTTTCACCGTCCAGACCCCAGGTCTCAGGGGCAAGTTCAGGGGGGGCTTGTAGTGCGTGAACTCCGCGGTGGACTCGATGAGGATGTCGTAAGTGGCGGCGATGACGTTCACGGGGTCCACCCACACGATGGTCACGGTCACGTTGGGCCCCTTCCCCCACCTCTGCATCCCCACCGGCTCATCCATGGGCCCCAGGAGCCCCCCGAAGTTGCGGAAAAGCCTCTCCTTGGCATCCCAGTCAGTGCCCACCTGAAACAGGGAAGCTGGTCAGTGCTGGGGCCTCTGGTCGGCGGGTCAGCTGCCGGCGTGGGGCTGGGGCTGGGCCCAGGGAGGCCTCGGGACGCCTAAACCCATTTCACAGATGAGGAGACTGAGGGGCCATGCTTAGGCGTGGCTGCCCAGCAGTGGAGTGGGGCTGGGGTATGACGGGGCCTGGAGGCCTCCAACTCAGCTGCGGCACCCCGGGCCTGGTGCACAGCCTGGGTTTTGAAGCAAAACCCCAAATATTTTTGGAAATAAGAATGTGCCCACCAAAAGTGGCCGTGAAGCTACTCTCAAATCAAAGCCCCCAAACCATGCAATTCTGCACACCCCATTAAATCTATAGTATGCCGAGTCCCAGGCCTTGTGAGTAAGGGGCTGTCCCTCAGCCTACATCACATTTATTTTGTGTTTTTCAAAGCGAACTCTGTGTGTGTGTGTGTTGTAGAAAAACTGAAAGCTCTCACGCCAGCATCGCTTTTTCTGTAGAGGCTGATGGGGGTTTGATGAGTACCAGCAAGCTCTTTGCAGTCCATGCCAAGGACATTCATGGAGCTGGGCCTACCAGGCCCGTGGTAGTAGTGTCTCGTCACAGGCTGGCCAAAATCAAATGTCATGTCACTGTGGAAGGTCACCCAGTGGCAGGCAGGTAGAGAGTCAGCTCCCAGACCCTCAGCACAGGAAACTTTAATGGGAAACTAATGTCCTTAGAGGGTCACCAGAATCTGCAGGAGCATGGTCAAATGGGGAGGTGGGGATTATCCAGTGAGCATCTGTGGTGGCTCAGACCTAACCAATCCATCCAGAGCCATCGCTGAAAAGGCTGGCTCCACGAGAAACTCCCATGCATGCCCATATGCCATGGGGGTCTACTGAGCATGGAGAGGGTAAACAAGGCAGGACTGCGGGGCGCTAGAGAAGGACCAGCAAGGGAAACGGAAGCAGGTGAGACCCTGTCTCCCATCTAGGCCAAGCTCCCTCCTCCCACCTGCCCATCCGCCACTCCTCCATTGACTGACGGTGCTCATGCGGAGCCAGCCCCAACACCAGGAAGTGCGACCACAAAAACACACCAAGCATTTGTGGCCAAGGAAACCTGGAATCAATTCTGAACTCTTCCGCTTTCTAGCAGTGATGTAGGGGGAAAAAAAAATCTCAAAATCTCCATCGGCCTCCCTTTCTCAATCTGTAAAAAAATGGTACTAATGCCACCTTTTCATTAGCAAACTGGTTTGCTACTGGTCCATTACTAACACAGATTTAGAGGAAGCACCTGTTAGGACCAAAAAAAAAAAAAAAAAAAAGGTTAAGCTGGGCACTGGTGGCTCACACCTGTAATCCAAGCTACTCAGGAGGCTGAGATCTGAAGATCGCGGTTGGGGCAGGAAAGTTCGTGAGACTCTTATCTCCAATGAACCACCAGAAAACCGGAAGTGGCGCTGTGGCTCAAGTGGTAGAGTGCTCGCCTTGAGCTGAAGAACTCAGGGAAAGCACTCAGGCCCAGAGTTCAGGCCCCATGACTGACAGAAAAAAAAAGTAGGCCAGGTTCCAGGTCATACTATCCACTCATGCTGTGACCCTCCACCCTGTGTTCAGGGCCATCTCCTCCTGTTGGCAACCCAAGAAACACAAGGTCCATGCTTGGCACAGGACCTGGCCAGGGCGCTGCAGAAGACAGCATGTGTCCCAGGGCCCGGCTCTTACCTCAGAGAACTGGAGCCTCCCGAAGTCGCTTGGGGGGCTGGCGACCTTGAAGACTTTCTTTGGCATCACCCACGTCTCCAGAGTCTCGAGCTTGCTCACACCCAGGTTGGTAGCATGGTGCTTGATCAGGAAGCCCTGGAAGCGGTCAGCAAGGAAGTAGAGGTGGACGGATGCCGGGTGGCCCATTGGGTAGTACCTGAAAACAGAGCTCACAGGTCAGGGACTCCCAAGTAGCTGGGACTTCAGGTGTGCACTACTCTGTCCAGCTTCTTACCACGTTCTTCTGCGGCGTCAGTCTAAAAACTACTGCCATTGTATGGCTGATCTTAATTACGAAGAACTTTTTGCTGAGTTATAAACGTAAAACATGCTGACTGTAGGAAAGCACAATAGAGGAAATAAAATGACTCCTTTTGATGCCTGTTCCCATACATAACATTGATTCACAGACACGCATTGAGTCCTCTGGTGCTCGGTACAGTGGAGCAGAGACGGTGTGTGAACACAGGTTACCGATGACTTTCCCTGCAGCCTCATTTTTATGTCTACATTTGCATAAATTACATAGCTGCATCTTGCCTTTGCTCCATGGGACTCCTCAAGCCTTAACATATAGATTGTGTGTGTGTGTGTGTGTGTGTTTGCATGTGTGGGCATGTCTTATGTATGTTTTTAGTCATGCCTGTCTACCATTTATAATTATCCGTAGTCTAAAACAGTGCTGTGTTAAACTTCCTCCAGCAAAACTATGTTTGGAATGTTTCTTTCTGTATGTGCGTGTGTGTATTTCTCTATTGGTAGTTCTGGGATTTGAACTCAGAGCCTCGCATTTGCTGGGCAGCTGCTCTACCCCTTGCGTTGGGTCTGCAGTCCTATTCTGCTGTTGCTACTTTCAAGCAGGGTCTCTCAGCACGGGGCTGGCCTCATCCACACCGTGTGCTGGCTGGAATGGGAGGAGAGAGCAAGGTCGAGATGGCTGGAAAAGAGCTGGGAGCGGGGAGCAGGGAGCGAGGGGAGGAGAAAGGTTCCTTGTCCTTCTTGCTTGTAAAATAAAAAGCTGTTGCTTGGGCCACCTATGAATTTGCCCAGCACTGATTCCCTCATTACTTTCTGCTGTCCTCACCCAGCTAAATGCCTCATTTTGGAGCTGGAGTTTTCCATCTCTCTGTCCTGTTAAATGGCTGGGGAAGCCGCCTTCCCATGGTGCATCTGTGCGCAGCACTGACTGGAGGCTGGGGAAGGGTGGGGGCAGGGAGCCCTAGGAGGAAACCCCGGTGTGAGCCATGGAGACTCACACCAGTGCTCAGATCTAGGAGTCCCAGCGGCAGGAGGTCACAGCAGGGCTGGGACATGGAGTTTCTGGAGCTGATGGTGAGGCTTCGGGTCTGTCCTAGCCACTCAGGCAGTGGCGGACCACATGGGACTGGTTGAGCACCTGAAGCTCGGCCTCGTGGTGGAGGAATGCCACTTCCCCTTGCGTTTCTCCTCAAATAGGCGCTGGTGGCTCACGGTTATAGACGTCCCCAGGGCTCGGGGCCTTGTCATCAGAGGTGATTCCTCTGTCCCCTGAATCCCCTGTGGCATGTGGGACTGACTGCCATTTTGGCATGAGGCTTCTAGAAGCCTCCCTTGGGTCCCCCGGCTTTCTCGCATCCTGTTTCTGATTTCTCTCTTGGAAAGTCGGGAGATTTGGTTGCAAACATGTACGTCAGCTGACTTCCAATCTACGGGACTGGAGGCGGGTGTGGCGGGCGCCCCCTGCAGGCAGCATGCGGCACTGCACACACCGCCAGCTGGCACTGAACGGAGCTATGGGTAATAAATACGGTTCTACCCTCCAGTTTCCTTACATTTAAGGCCGCCATTCCAGGCATTCCTGCAATGCACATGTGCCGCTTCATAATGAGAAAATGAGTCAATGCACATTATTTTTAATAAAAGGTCAACATGGTGGACTGGAAATACACGTAGGCATAAAATGCCTAGAGGAAAAAACCCAGGCTCTGCTTCTGCTCTCTGTTTCTTGCCTTTGGGGAGAAGGGTCTTGATTTATGTGCAGTTCTGATTCATAAATGTACGGCTTTGCCCACAGCAAGGCACATGGTCCCATAAGGGTTAAAAAAAAAAAACCAAATCAAAGAGGCCCAGGCCAAAGGATTACAGGCCTGAGGGACATGGTGGATTGCTTTATTCTAAAGCTAGTGCCAGGGGAGAATCCCAACAACCCTAAATAAATTGGGGGTGTCTTTTGGAACTTCCTATCAGCTCATTCATCTTCTGAGCTCTAGGAAGCCTGGGATTAAAGCCTGTCTTTCGGGCTGGGCCGTGTACGGAGGTGACATGCCTGTGTGCCAGGCTGTCCACTCTACCGTAGAGGGCAGGGGAAAAGGACCCCGGGGGTCCCCAGCCACATACCAGGGGTGGGCCGGAGGTGACATCCCTGGGATACGTTCAGCTGGGGAGAGGTTATGGGGCTGTCAGAGGGGAACCCCGAAACAGTATTAGAAGGTGGGTGGTGTTTAGGATGGTCCTTAGGATGATGGCAGTCACAGCAGGCTGTGAGTAAAGATGACGGCCAGTGACTCACTCACCCAGGAGATCCCCTAATGGTGGCCTGTGCAGGACCAGGCCCTCGAGCATGGAAGACGTTAGCAGACCTGGATACTGCTACTAAGCTTAAAACCCATCCGGACCCTTTTGAGCATTTTCTCCTCTGAGCTTTACAGTTATGTTGTCCAGGGAGGGTGGTGAATAATACTCTCGTTTCACACATGGAGAAACCGAGGCTCCGAGTAGCTCACGATTAGCCTCAGGGCCACTGCTAGGAAGCAGAGGTGAGTTCACAGTGCAGGTCCCAGGTCCCTGGCCTACTCTACCCTAAGCAGACCTGTGAGCAGGGAGAAGGCCAGTTAGGTAAGGAAGTGGTAAACGGGGTGGCCGCTGCCCAGCAGAGGGTCTGCTGGGGACAGACAAGCGGCAGGCAGGAAACCTACCTGTGTCTCAGAGAGTTGTGGGGAAGGAGCCTTCCTTCTCCTTTCTTCCCTAAGAAGAGGAGGGAGGGGAACAAAAGGGGCACCGGAAGACAAGCCCGGTGACAGGGGACTGTGGCTCAGAGCTCATTTCTTTTTTCACTGCGTGGTTAAAAGGAAGCTAGGAGAGGAGAAGGGGTGGGGAGAGAGGCAGCAAGGAGAGCGATCAGAGGCACGTCTGGGAATCTCTCCTAAAGCAATAATCAGAAAAGAGAATTAAAATAAAACACCCCAGTTTTTTTTTTTTTTTTTTGCAAATATAGGATTCATCAGAAGAATAAAATAATGTCATTTGCAGGGAAATGGACGGAACTAGAACAAATCATGTTAAGCGAGGTAAGCCATGTTCTCCCTTGATATGTGGAGGTTAGATCTGAAATGCGCTGGGATGTGACAAATTACACAGGATTCCAGATAGTCGCATATAGTGAGGCCCAAAGAGGATAGTCTTAGGAGGGAATCACAAAGGAGCAATGCCCAAGCGCCTCTTCCTATGTATATAACATCACACACATTCTGAAGTGAACTCCAGAGCTATGGAAACAAAGGACTCTTTTCTTACTTTGTTTTTTTCTTTGTCTCATGGTTCTGTATGCTTTACCTTCTATAGGGTGTATTCACATGCATCTCTGTGGGAGGGTAAGGGGGAGGGCACAGAATTGGAGGAAAACGTGTGAAAGGGGGCATCATTGGAGCCCACTGGCTGCACTGGACATTGATGAAAGTGGACTATGAAACTCGTGGGTGGAGGGGGGAGGGAGGGAATGGGAGAGAAGGAGGGAACAGATGACGCTGTACGGAAGGAAGTGTGCTCATTACCAGACACCTGGAAATGCCACCCCTCTGCCTGTCACCTCTGTAATAACGACGAAGTAAATTAAGAAGAAGACATATATAGGATGTATCAGAACCTTGCTCCCCACAGGGAAGGGTCTGGGCTCTCCTCTTCATTGGACAGAACGGGGACACTGAGACCCGTGGCGTGGTACGGGGAGGGGTGGGCACCAGATTCCTGCTGCCATGATGTCAATGTCCGTCAGAGAGGACGGGAGGAAAAGCCCGCGCAGGGGAAAGGGGTGGCTGGCTGCGGGGATTTTGCTTTCCCCCCCGACCCTTCCTCCTCCCCCCCTCAAACTCTAGAACATCCTTTAAAAAAAAAATTGCCCGCTCGTGGGAGGTGAGCTGATTCTAAGAGCTGGTAGAACATCTTAGAGTCAGAACTCTGCCTTTTAATGATTGATTGAGTTGTATTTTTAGGTGGGAGAATGACATCATAATTATATATACATGTATACATTTTAAAGGACACCCTATTTTTTCAGAGGTACCTATTAAAATATTTATGGCGGGAATTGACACCCGTGTCTGGGATTCCTTCCCGCTGCTGGAGAGGAGTGGGATGTGGGGGGGGGGTGAAGGGGGGGGTAATGATGGCAGTCGATGGCTTCAGGGCTCTGCTATTTTCCCTGCCTTGTATGCATTTGACATCTTCCGTCATGGAAGGCTGATTAAAAAACCCTTAGGTTGCTTTGTTTTGTGTTTCAGGGTTACCTGTCATTTAAGACCACCCCAAGGGCACCCAAGGGTGGCATACATCTGTCTTAAAGCCACTGGCGATCAGATGATCAGGTTGCGTCACAACCGGAAGGAACTGCTGGGGGCAAAGGTCAGGGGGAGGTGGAGACAGGGAGGCAGCAATGGAGGTGGCGGGTCAGCCACTGGGGTCCCCGCGGGGAGGACGTGGGGGGGGGCAGCGGGCCGGGGTTCCTGGGGCTCACCTGCAGCTGCTCTCCCCGGCGTCGGCGTTGGGGTGCGGGGCGGCCGCGGCGGCCCGGCGCAGGCCCAGGCGCGTGAAGGAGTGCAGCAGGCCGAGCATCACGTCGCTGAGGCTGTGCACGCCCTCGGGCTCATCGTAGATGTTCTCCCAGTAGGCTCGGAGGCCCGGCGTGCCCGCGGGGTAGTTCCCGTACAGGTAGTAGTCCAGCTGCCCGATGATCTCCTGATTCACCACCGCCTCGAACTTGCGGGCAAAGAAGGTGGGCCGGGCTGTCTGCTGTGCTCACAGATTGAAGAGGGAAAGGGCGTCAGCAGGTGCTGGGGAGACCACCCTCCCCTTCCCACGGCGAGGGGCACCGGGATCCAAACCCCTGCTCTCACACCGGTGGACCCCTCTGTGTCGGGAGGGGACTTGAGGACCCAAGCAGTCCATGCCTGGAGGGACACCTCGGCATCTCGTAAACGACGGCTATATCCACCGAGTCCTCAGCTCAGCTGTGAGCGGGGAGGAGGAGTTCCAGGAGTTATTCATCGAAGGGCACACACACACACACACACACACACACACACACACACACACACACACACACACACACACACACGGATGAGCCGGGGCAAATATAGCCTGGGGATGTGTCTTAGGTGGCCAGGAGGATGTGTTGAAACAGAACTCTCTGGCAGCGTTTAAGAAGTGGAAGCTTCGGGCAACCATTTCTGGTTTCCTGTGTTTACAGGTATAGTCCCAGACTGTACTTGGGAGGGAGAGATCAGCAGATCACAGCCAGGAGTCTGAATTGCTAACAGGCTTTAGCAGTGGCCTGACCCCTGACCAAGCTAACTCCGCTTCCCCTCTCTCTCTCTCTCTCTCTCCTTCTGGTCATTCTTTCTTTCAGGCTTATTCTTTCTTTATTTCTTGGTGGTTTGCTGGTGCAGGGGGAGCGGGCGGAACTCCTTAGGCTGACACTCTATGGCAGTGTGCCTCCAGCCCTGCTTTTTACCGGTTATTTTTGAGACAGGATCTCACTTCCAGCCTGGGAGTGTTGTCTGAGCTGTGATTTACCTATGACAAGCACACTGCTAAATCTACTGGAATATTTGTTAAAAAAAAAAAAAAAAAGAATTTATTTTGGGGTCCACATGAGATGGTACCTGTCTGTAAGGAGGTAGTGGGCAGAGATTGGGAGAATCATAGTTCAAGGTCAGTCAGTCCCAGCCCCAATACACACACACAGACACACAGACACACACACACACACACACACACACACAGAGTCAATGCCCCATCTCTCAACCAGCAAGCTAGACTACAAGAGGTATTCAAACATATGCTGCTACTTTCCTAACCTCTATCCAATAGAGACAGCCGGTGTCAGTCCCCAGGATGGCATCTCTCTCTCTCTATATTTTGGGGGGGTCTGACTGAGGAATGTTCTAGAGGATTGTGATTTGAAAGGGAGTGCAAAGGAGCAGCATGGCCTTGGAAATAGATCCTTGAATAAGGCTTTTGCCCTTCCCGTGCCTCAGTTTCCCTGTAAGATGGAATATGAGCATGCACAACGTACATCCTGTGAGGCTGTCGTGGGGTTGATGAACGGTCTGACCCGCCCTGGCACCAGGGGCTGTGGGAGGCAGGCCCGGGCGGGGCCTGGGGCGGGCGTCGGGCTCACCTGGAAGCGGAGGAAGTCCTGCGGCTTGAAGTCGTTGGGGGAGCAGCCGCACCAGTCCACGATGTGCTTGTACTGGCACTTGCAGCCCAGCTTGCGGTTCCAGTTGGTAATGCGCAGGTTGTTGTCTACCATGGTGTCGCAGTGGGGGCCATTTTCCAGCACCGTGTGGAAGAAGGACTGCCGGGTGGGGAGAGGGGCCAACCTTAACCCTCCTGTCCTCCCCTGAGTACGTGGGTCGGCGCCTCTCAGTGGAGTGGGGTCCAGCTCTGGGAGAGCCGGCCTCTGTCCTGAGCGGCTGGTTCAACTCGGGAGCTGGCTACTCCCCAGAGTGCCATCTTTAACCCATGCTTACAATCTGACATCAAGACGTCCCACGGCTCGGGGTGGCTGCTGTCTGCCCAGTAGACGGCCAGGGCCTCTCAGGGCTGTCAACATATGGGGATTGGAGGCAAACATGGGGACATCTACCAGGACACCTTGGGCTAGGGAGGCTCAGACCTCTGGGTCTGAGGGAGCGTGGGCATAACCACCAAAGGGTCCAGACTCTGCCACGAGGGAGGGAAGATACACAGGGGTACATAAACCTGGGGCAGAGGTGCCCCAGATCCCTGCCAGCCGGGGGGCGGGGGGTGGGGGGAGAGGACACGCCAGAGGGGTTTGCTGTCCATGGTGCTGAACGAGGCCACGCAGTGTGACCACAAGGGAAGGGCTGCTGTCCATGGTACTGGACCAGGAGCCATGATTCATCATATAGTCTAGGAGGTCAACCTCTGAGAAAGAGGCAATGGCCAGAGTGGAAAGACAGCAGAGAGGAGGTACAATGGTTGGAGCTGCTGAGATTTTTTTTTTTGACAGAGTAGCCAGGAGAAAGGTGAGGCCAGCCTACAGAAGACAGCCCTCCCCCGCCCCAGCTCCCCAAGAGAGGCTGCCGGGGACGTGTTTGTGGGCGCAGACACTGGTGTCTCCTCAGCTAGTCCCCAGAGGTGTGCGGGAGAAGGGAGGGCTGAGCGGGCGACAGTCTCGGGGGACAAGGGAGGAAAGGTAGGGCTTACGGATTCCTGGGCACCAGCAGTGAGGCCAGTGTCTTGACAAAAACAGCCAGACTCCCAAAGAATCTCCTCTAAAGGGTGGGTGGGAAAAATGAAGCCACTGTGCCACCCCTGTGGGTCCCCGGGATGCAAGGTGCCAGGCCAGCCAGACTGGATGGTGTCCTGGTCCACAGAGACACACCTTCCCCACCAAGTGACAAGACAAGAACCCAGTTCCCAACCACACCTCCTCCTTCCCCACCATGCAGTTTCCCCAGGGATCATGGATGACAGGGCATGAGAGAAAAGGGAGAATTCTGCTGATGCAGGATTAAAAGCTGCAACTTAACACATGTGCTGTGGGGTTTCCTGGATGAAAATCACTACATGAGCCGCCTGCTCTGGTCTGGGCTCAGGCCAGCTGCATGCTGGGGGCTCACGCCTGTAAGCCTAGCTACTCAGGGGGCTGAGGCTTGAGGATCATGGTTCAAAGCCAGCCCAGGCAGATAAGTCTATGAGACTCTTATTTCCAATTGACAACTAAAATGCCAGAAGTGGCACTATGGCTTAAATGGTAGAGCACTAGCATTGAGCACAAAAGCTCAGGGACAGTACCTAGGCCCTGAGTTCAAGCCCCAAGACCAGTGCACATGCGCTCTCTCTCTCTCTCTCTCTCTCTCTCTCTCTCACACACACACACACACACACACACACACACACGGAGACCACATGGTTTACAGCTGGGGGCCCCACTAGGGTGTAATGGGGGCTCAACCATGAAGCTACAAGCTCAGTAGCAACAGATCCAGCTGTGCTGTCCATGCAGATCTGGGAGCATCATTTCAAGACTGGTCTGGGATGATTTAGGATGGGCTGCCATCTGAGACAATGGGTGTTTCCCACCCTGGGGGCCAGCAAATGATTTTGGGCTCCCTGAAGCTTTTCAGCGCTCCCCACAGGACGCGGGGCGGTGGCCTGAGTAGATAACAAGCAAGAGGGCTGTGCAGGAAACACAGCTGGCCAGCTCTGGGATGGCTCGGGTGTCTGGGGTGTGACTATGCAGCCAACAACTACTTCCATCAAGGACTGAAAAGGGACTGCTGGTGCTGACAGGTGGTCATTATGTAATTGGTAGCTGTAGAGGGTCTGGATGAAGGTCAAGTGGATCTGTCTACCTGCTCTGGAAGGGTCAGCAAGTACAGCTGTGCAGGCTTTCTACTGCAAGATTCCCCGGAGGCATCATAATTGCTGAAAGCATTAGAGGCTTGCTTTTTTTTTTTTAATTTTCAGTACTGGGCTCTGGATTTGAGGCTTTGAGCCTGCTTGGCAGGTGCTCTACCACTTGAATCCACCTCTAGCACATTTTTGCCGTGGTTATGTTTTTGAGCTATAGCCTCTCCTTTTCATCCCAGGTTGGCCTGTGATCTTCCTATTTATACTTTTTGCTATAACTGGAATGGTAGATAAGAACCACTCTACACAGCCTTTCCTGTTGAGCTGGGCAGGGGGCGGTGTCTTGAAATCCTTTGGTCTAGGCTGGTCCAAACCACAATCCTCCTGCTCTTACCAGAGTAGCTAGAATTACAGGCATATACACCTGTATTGTTTGTTTGTTTGTTTTTGTCGGTTGTAGGGCCTGAACTCCGGGCCTGGGCACTGTCCCTCAGCTCTTCAGCTCAAGGCTAGCACTCTACCACTTGAGCCACAGCACCACTTCTGGCTTTTTCTGCTTAGGTGGTGCTGAGGAATCGAACCCAGGGCCTCATGTGTGCAAGGCGAGCGCTCTACCACTGAGCCACCTTCCCATCCCTACACCTGTAATTTTAAAAATAACATTTTCTCCCTGGAAAATGGAACCAAAGTATCTTGCTCTAACAAAATCGGTATATTATGTGTTTTTTTTTTTTTTTTAAAGAAATAACCAAAAGGGCCTGAGCATCTTGAGCAAGAGCTGCCTTTTCTGTTTACACAAATGCATTGCGCAGGCGGCTGGGGGTGATACAGCTTCTGGTGGCCTGGAGGGGACCCAGAGGCCCTGCTGCGGTCCCCACATGGCCAATGCAAGGCCAACGCATTCTTATCTGGACAAGGCAGGCAGACCTTCGACATAGCTTTGTCGAACACCCCGCCGCTCTGCAGGCCGCAGCTGGCCCCGGCCTGTGTGTGTGTGTGTGTGGGGGGGGGCAGACGGTCCCTGGGACTCACCTCGGCCGGCAGCAGCGTGTAAGAGTAGAACTCCTTCATCTTGGTCACCAGGTCGTCCGTGGAGAACGTCACGTATTCCACGAACTTGCGGTTCAGCAGGAACCAGTCGGAGCCGCCGTCCACCGAGATGCCCTCGGGGATCCGCCGGTCCCCCAGGCGCCACATGCGGGTGTCACACTCCAGGAAGAGCCGGTCCAGGCCTTGCTTCCGGATGAACCTGCGGAGACCAGCTAGCCCTGAGTCCTGCGGGGAGGGAGCGCTGCCCAGAGCCCCAGGTGCTCTTGGGTCATTTGTGGAGCATTTGTGCAGGGGTTGGGGGCTCTGTGCTGTCCTCTGGGACAGGCGCCCTCAGTTACCCCTCACGCCGGGAGCCACTGCAGCTCAGAGAGCCACGATCGCAGGCCACGTCCACGGCACTTTCCAGACCACATTGTTTGTGCGGTGGCTGCAGCCTATGGAGAGACCACGCCCACAACGCACATGGGCGCAACGCATGTACTTCTGGCTGGTGTTTGTGGTGCCGGGCCTCGTGCGTGCCAGGCAGGCGCTCGACTGCTGAGCCATGGCCCCTGGGCCTCAAGGGATTCTTGACTTAATGCGACGCTGGGGACCACAAAATAGTATGAAAGTGCCAGCTCAGCCTTGTGTGCTTTGCAATCTGTGCTCTGCAACCCCATGAACAGTGCATGCAGCTGAGTACCTCTGCCCCTTGCCCGCTCATGGCTGATCCACACAACCACTAGTCTGTGCCACCTCCTGTGGCGGACCGGGCTTCAGGATCTGCTCAAAAGCCCCTCACAAGCTGAGAGTCACTGGAAAGCGAGGAGTGCTCTCTGAGCCTCAGTTTCCCCTTGGTATGAGTGCAGAGTTGGGCCAGGTCTCCATCTTTGTCTGGGTGTTTATAAGGACCACATAGATCCGGGAAGCTGTGAAGTGTGCTGGTTGTAGTATGTATGTGTGTGTGTGTGTGTGGGGGGGGGGGTTGAGGACTATGGAGAAAGCGTAATGCCGTTCTGTAACCATTTCATTCCCTTAACATGTTTCTGGCTGAATAACACATCTCCCCCAGGCTGAATCTTGTCCTAAGGCCTCTGGCCAGAATTCTAGCAGTGATGGTCCAGGAGTCACTCGGTTATACCTAAGAAGAGGGTCCCGTGGGCCAGGTGTTATCACAGGACACCTGCAGACAAAGAGGGCCAGAGAGGGCAGGCAACTTTCCCAGCAACACACTGAGGCTCACACAAGGGCAGAAGGCCCAGAAGCCAGTGTCCCTGGGCTGGTTCTCTCCACATACAAAAGCTAAGCTTGTTAGCACAGCCAAGTTCTTGCTGGGGAGCGGCTTGGTGAGGGTATCTTTACTGTGTCACAGCTTTACCCAGATGGAGACACAAGGGGTCAATAAAGGGAAATAACATCTAACATCCTATCTCAGCTTTGGCTGGTGCGTGTGCATCATCACACAGAAAACTTTAACTTTCAGATAGCTTGTGTGAAAATTTACATGGGAGGTAGAGGAGAGGGAGAGAGAGAGAGAGAGAGAGAGAGAGAGAGAGAGAGAGAGAGGGACAGAGATAAGAGAACAGAGGTACAGGGACTTGCTGGTCCTTCCTTAGACCGGCTCTTATAGTTCATGTTCCATTATATGGGATAATAGCGTCGTCTTGCAATTTTAATGTGATGTCCCAGGCCATAATATTCAAATGCAATATTTATGTAGTCATCTCCAAAATGAAATATTCATGCATTGGGAGATTGGCTCTATATTTACTGTGTTCCAAACTTGGATACGCTGCAAATATATGCTTTGGTTAATTATGAGTAAATAGACAAGCGAGTCCCTAGGTTTTAGAAGTTTCTGGGGTCACGGGGCCTGCCGAGGACTTTGTTTTCACTTGGGAGAAAGTGGCAGAGGCCCAGAATCTGGGTAACAACCAGATGAGAGGATGTTTGGATTTGGGCATTAATCATGACTTGAAAGAGTAAAACAGGAGGATAAGGTAAGTCAGTGAGGACACAATGGGATGCCTCTCTCTCTCTCTCTCTCTCTCTCTCATTCTGTAGCTCTCTCGTTGATCTTGGCTCTCCAGCAGAGGGTGCCCAGCTCTCTGCCCTACGGGGTGAACACAGCTTCACAGCAGTGCTCCAGTACATGGAGGGGACCAGTGATGCTCCTGCTTCACTTCCAGTTGCCATGGTTACCCCGTGCATCCTGGCAACAGGTGGCCCCATAGCAGAAGAGACACTGGGCAGAACCAGGTCCTAATCCTACTCCTGCGTGCCACACAAGCATCCACGACCCCATCCTGACAAATCAAAGCATGATGGAGTCTGCTCCACGGGGGGTTTGCGAGATATGTGGTGAGCGGTGGTTACGCAATCAATGAGCCGACCCAACCCCCGGTCCCTTCTTACATCGTGGGGGGGGGGAGGATCCCCTGCCTCCCCTGGCATCCCGGACCCTCCTTTCAAGCTTCATTCTTACCTTCCACTCTCTCCATGTGTCCAGTACTACCGGCTACATGTGAGCCCAAGGTAAAAGAGATGTCTGTCCAATTGTGCTCGTGGCGCTCTATCTAGAACACCGCTGAGCACACAAGCAGTGTGCTCAATAGACAATTACTGAGCAAATGAGCAGAGGGGAGGGTAGCCACCACAGCTCTTGGCAGTTGGGACACCCCGGGAATCTGTAACCAGGTAACTAGTTCTTATAATGCACTTGAGGAAGGAAGCGAATCTCAGGAAGGTTAGGTAATTTCCTCCAAAATCACACAGCTAGAAAGCTTGGTTGAATCCAGGTCTGGCTGGGCCCAACACCAGCCTTTAGCCTTTCAACCACCTCAAAAACACAATGGCCAGAGAAGAGAGACAGAGAAGCATGAGAAAAGGTCTTATTATTGGTGCTGGGAAGGGGTGCTCTGGTGACATTTGGGGACTTGGCTCCAGAATGAGCTGTCTGGGGTCACCCTGCTTTATTTCCCGGGCTCACAAAAACAAACGGCTTACCTTCCTGAGAGTTTCCAGTGCCACAGGGGACTGAGTCCCAGCTAAAAAGGGATCCAATGGGAGCCATGGGGACCAATCTACCAGCTTAGCATGACTGTCATCCACAAGAAAGGCCGGATGAAGCCAGGGGAGAGCGGTCCTGGCCTCTTTCATGGAGTGGAGGACTGAGAAAAGAACCCCTCTGGTCTCTGGATGAAGGCCCTCTTCATCAGTCCCCCTGTCTACAATCTTGGCACACTCATAAGTGTGAGATTATTCCAGAACTGTCTTACCCCCTTTTTGAGTTTAAAGAGGAAATATCTGCCCCTTTGATTTTTATAGTATGTCTGAGCAAGAAGGAATCATAACATTTAGCTAATATATCTAAAGCCACAGATGAAACCACAAGAAGACAAAGACAGGATGACAACCCCAAATCCTACAACGGGGGGAAACCCCTCCTGATGTTCTGTCTTCCCACCCAGTGGTTTCCCCTCCCCTCCAGATCCTTTACAAATCGAACGTTTTAGTTTAAAAGTCAAGTCCGGGAATCAGGCCTGCAGACAGACGTGACACGCATGAAATCAGCCCCGACGGGGACAGGCTCACCGTGACACAGCTGGACGCCCAGGGCCCAGGCCCGGCTTCTCGGGGCCAGGTGCAGTGTCAGCTATTAGCCGAAGGCACATTTAATCACGCGGCCTGTTTCTGCATCTCCAGCGCAAGCAGCGATCAGTCATGCCTGCCTCGGACCAGGGGGTGTGAAGAAGGTTTCAGAGAGATTGGATAGGGAGAGGGCTGAGCCTGGCACTCAGCATGCAGAAAGCACCTCACAAATATCCACAGCGGATTTAAATGTCTCCTCCTCTTCTCCGTGTTGAGGCTGGGTGGATGAGAAGGGGGTGGGGGTGGGAGGCGGGTCTGAGGCTGGAGAAAACCCTTGCACAGCTGCAGAGCAGTAGAGCTTCAGGACCACGGACAGTGCCCAAGGCCCGGGGAGGGCTCCACCGCCTGTGCCTTCTATTGGAACAACACCTGTTGGACTCTGAGCAATTCTGCCTGAGTTCCACAAATAAAAGCCTCCTTCCTGTCTCCCCAAACCAGGAGCTCCCTGGGTCTGAGCTGGGCCTCCCCAAATGCTCCCTGCTGGTCATTCTTCAAACCGGCCTGGGCCAGCTCCTCACAGCGCTTGAGTCCCTACCTGCCGGACCTCCATGAGTCCGCAGTCTGTATGGTTTTCCGCATTTTATGTACTTTTTATTTGTGCTGGTCGTGGGAATTGAACTCAGGGCCTTGTCCATACTAGGCGAGCACTCGACCCCTTGATCCGTGACCCCCCCCCCAGCCCTTTTGTTTTAGTTGTTTCTGAGACAGGCACTCACTAACATCGCCCAGCTGGCCTCAAAACTGGGGTCAGTGAAGAGATCCCAAAAATGTTATAATACTCAGTCCTCCGGTCCCATGTCCCTGTCTGGGTCTTCTAAAGATAACAACGCAGGCAACCTCTGGTGGTGTCTATCATCTCAGCTCCTCGGGAGGGAGAGATAAGGAGGATCTTGGTTTGAGGCCAACCTGTGCAAAAGCAGGAGACCCTACCTAAAAAGCAAAGTGAGAAAAAGCTGGGGGTAGTGGTGGTGGAGGAGAGAGCCCGAGTTCACAATCCCAGTGCACTCATTCCTCCTCAAAACAGGAAGAAACAGAGCTGTGACAGTCAAAACTCCAACCTCTGAATTCTCACAGCTGGGGGTGGGGGGGGGAACAGGCGTGGGGTGCAGAGCTGCCGTTTTGACACCGGTGGCTGGACCCAGACTCCCCTCTGCTCTTAGGACTAGACCGCACTGTGACCCAGTGCTAGACACCAGAGCCCCAGGATCTCCCTGCCCCCCAAAATGAGTGGAGGCCCTGGATGGAGCGGGCAGGAAATACCTCCTCTGCCCGAGACGCCCGGAGGTCCCAGGGCCTCTTCCGGAATATACTATACTGGCCTTTTCTCCGGGACAGCTGCTTCGGCTCGGCCTTGCCGACACTGCCTGGGAAGATGACAGCTGGGTCCCGCTCTCGCTCCATCTATCGGGGACTTTGTTTTTGCAGAGAGCAGAAGAGACCGTGAACACCGCGGCCCTCCGCCCTCCTTTCATTACAGCACAGACAGGCCCAGTTTAGCCGCTATGATGATATGAGCTGCCATCTCCTCCAGTCCGAGCCGGAAGTCCAGATTGGCTGCCGAAAGCCGGAGGCCAGACAGAGGAGCTATGGAGAAAACCCAGGGAGGCTCCCCGCTGCCTGCCTGCCTCCTGCTCCCCATTTTCCATCTTTTGGGCTCTCCTCTTACAAGGGCAGGCCCAGGAGCAGGGGAGCGGAGGCTCAGAGGGACTGTGGAGAGCTTCCCCTTTGGCCAACTTGCTTTGCTTTTCCCTCTTCTTTTCAGTAGTATGGGGTTTGAACTCAGGGCCTCACACTTACAAGCTAGGCATTCCACCATACGAGCTATGATCCTTCCCCTCCCCCCCTTTTTCTTGCTTGTTTGCTTCCTGAGCGGGTCTCAGAATGCAATCCTCCGACCTCCACCTCCCAAGAAGCTGGGATTGCAGCTGTGCATTGCTACAGCCAGCCCAAACTCCCTTGACTTTTCAAGCCACCCAGTGCGTGGGATGTAAGCAGGACTGGAACACAGAAAGCTCATCATGCAGGAAGTGGGAATTCTCCATCACGTGAATCAGGTCCTAGCAGAGCACTGGGCTCCGTCACCCCAAGGTGCGTGCATTCTGCCTCCGCCGGAAACACACTGCTGGGGCGAACTTTGAGTGAGCTCTTTTCCCATGATGCAGCTTGTCTGCACCAACCAAACTCCAGGCTGCCCAGAGGGGAAGATGGGTGCTCATTCTCTCCCTAGCGGAGGGCAATACCGAGAGCGGGGTCACTCCATTCAATTCCCCCTTCATGGAATCATGCCTGGCCCTCTCCCGATCACTGGTTTTGAGGCTGAAAGACCTGGCTTCACATTCTAGCATTTAACCAGCTGTGCAATGTTAGTGCACAGCGGTTCGAGTCCCGAAGCTGCCTCTCATTTCCCGAGAGTGAGGTGAGAGAGGGTGGTCCCTGTGCTGAATGATGGGGGGGCGGGTGTCTCTGGGAAGAGCGGGGGGCCTGGCACAGGGACGGACACTTGGAAGGAAGACTTTCCCAGTGGCAATGACTCTTATTTGCCCATGAAAGGAAACCAAATCTTTGCAAAAGTTTAGGACCCAGGACACGTTGCCTGCTTTTTGTCTCTCCCTGGGGCAAACTGGGTCAAAAGGCTAGCCCCAAACAAATACCGCCGCCAGCAATGGCAGAGAAGGTTTCCAGGGGAGACGGCAAGCAGGAGCGCCAAGGATGGGGGAGAAGGCAGGTGGGGGGAGGAGACAGGCCTCTCTGCCTGGAGAAGAAGGCTCGTGAAGGATTTGCCAGGAGAAAATTCAGACACGGCACTGTAAGCCTTTGGCTTTCTCCAGAGGAGCTAGAAACCCGGATCAGCCCCCGGGGGAAAATGCCGCTGTTAGTGTTCAAATGCGACGCCTGAATTAAAACAGAATGAAGCAGCAGCGGGCCGGATGCGGTCTGTTGACCAGCCTACCGGGGTGGGTACGCGGTTCCAGACACCGCCTATAGGGGGCGCTTGAGACATCGCCGCTGCCCATCCCAGAGTCTCCCTGCCTGTGCAGAAAGCAGGCGTCCAGCTTGAGGCTTTGATCTCTGCTGACACTTGGGGGGAGGCGGGGAGAGGGGGGCATCATGATGAGTCTGTGCTGGCAGAAGACTCTTTTCCGCTAGGAAAGAAACTCCATGAGAGGCCTGAACTGGTTGTTCACCAACAGAACGGTGCCCAACCCACCACGGGCCCTTGGTGAATGTTGACTGACTAAACAATTCATGGCTATCATTCAGAGGGCGGGCCTCTGCCCCCCCCCCCCCCCCCCCCCGGTGGAGGAATGAATCGTGGTGGTTCACCTCTGAGCTCATCCGACTAGCCTAGAAGGAAGCCTCCCTCCCCACCCCCCTCTCCACCCAGCGATCGCTTAGGTTTTCCGTTCTGTTGGACGCACGCAGGGGTAGGGGACTCTGTGTTTCTTACCTTGCGTTGTCCCGGCCGTGCGATTTCAGGAAATTCATGTCTCGGTACCGGGAGAGAAACGCCACCAGCTGGTCGTTCGTCCTGTGGGAGCAAACCGAGAGGAAGGTCAGGACTCGGCAGAGCCCGCGGGGATGCCCCGGCTCGGCCCCCTGCCCTGCCATCGGCACCCCGTGCGCTCTTGCTTCCTCTGCCTTCCTGATCTCCCCCAGGGCCTGCTGAGGGTCCTCTCTGCAGCTCCCACGCCACTCTGTTAAGACACGCCGATGACTCACGCCTGTAATCCCAGCTACTCGTGGCTGAGAGCTGAGGATCGTGGTTCAAAGCCAGCCCTGGCAGGAAAGTCCATAAGACTCTTATCTCCAATGAACCATCAGAAAACTGGAAGTGGCGCTGTGGCGCAAGCAGTAAAGTGCTGGCCTTGAGCTGAAGAGCTGAGGGACAGCGCCCAAGCCCAGAGTTCAAGACCCACGACTGATTAAAAAGACAAGAAGAAAGACACAGTGCTTGTGTCCCCCTCCCTTGACCTGCCCTGAATCGGGAATTCCTGGAGGACAAGCCAGTGTCTTAATATATTCCATTCCTGTGCCCTGCCTCTGTGTGCAGCCCACTGCCAAATACGGAGCAACCTCAGGGCCTTTGGACATGCCGTGCCTGGGGAACGTGTCCTGTATCTTCCCATCTCTGGCTGTCCACGTCTCCTCCAGATGTCACCTCAGCGGGGGCCTCCCTTGCAGCTCCACCTTCTGGCCCTCTCCCACCTTCTGTCACCCCATCCCCCCCGTTACTTCACCATTTTATCACCACCCGAGGGCCCTGACCTTGCTTGCACTACAATGCAGTAGCAGCCACGAGCGTGGGGCCCTGTGGGTTTCGCTCATCCCTGGCTCCCAGGAAGAGCTGCATTCAGGTTTGCTGAGTGAATGCGTGTGTGAATGAATGAATGTGTATGAATGAGTGAATGAATGAGTAAACACATGCAGGAGTCCAAGCCACCAGCCCTCGCATGGAACTCTTCAATGGCATTCTGAGCAGGGAGCCCCGGGGGCTCCTGATGGGGTCTCTATCCAGGACCAGGCACCGGACATACACAGCGATGTTGCTCCAGTGTTGTTATGCCCAATTTATCACCAACCATCCCAGTGATCGCAGCGCAGTCACAGCTGATCAACGCGCATGCGTGCACGGCCGTGACAGTATTTTAAAAGTGCGTCCTCGGGCCTCCATCTGCCAGGGACACGGTCACCTTTTCTTTTTGTTGAATAAACCCAAGCAGGTGAAGGGACTGGGTGTGACCGAGCCTCCCTGGGCGGGCTCCGTGTCCCCCAGCTTTGCAAAGCAGGAAGGGGTGAACCGCAGGGGAAGGCCACGCAGGGCCTGAGAAGCAGGGTGGGGGCCCACGGGAAGAAAGAAATGCCTGGGCTCCAAAGGCAGAAAGATCTGGAGACAGAGCTCAGCTGTCCTGGTGGAGGCTCAGCCGCGTGGCCCCTCTGAGTGGGCAGGCTTTTCTGAATTTGTTTTCCTTGTGGCTGTGACCACAGTGGAAGCATGCCCAGCACACAGTGGGTCTGCTGTGATAGATACTGAGTGGGTAATGGGGTGGGCTTTACAGGGCACACAGTAGGTAGGCGACAGAATGGGCATAGTAGGGCATGTTCATCTATGGATGAGTGAGCAATGGGGTGAGATGTGTGTGTGTGTGAGTATGTCTGTGTGTGCATATACTTGGTCCTGGGACTTGAACTCAGGGCCCGGGCCCTGTCCTTGAGCCTCAAGGCTCTACCACTTGAGCCACAGCGCCACTCCTAGGTTTTGAGGTGGTTCATTGGAGGTAAGAGTCTCACAGACTTTCCTGCCTGGGCTGGCTTCAAACTGCGATCCTCCGATCTCAGCCTCCTGAGTAGCCAGGATGACAGGTGTGAAGCGCCCGCCATGGGGTGTGTTTTAAGGCGCACAGTGGCTGCATGGTATGTGCAGGTGCGCGTCTTCCTGTGCCCCGCTCTCTGCTCTGAGCCGCCCGCCCTCACGTCGGCGGAAGTCTTGCCGGTCCTTGCTTTCCCTTGAGTACTTCCTAGTTCCAGAAGAGGGGCACAGAGTAGTCAAGGGGCACAGGAGTGCTGCCCGCATCTCAGCCCACCCACCAAAACACAACTCAGTGCCCTGGGGAGATGGGCCTGAGGGAGGGGTCCGGGCCCCGTCCCGTCCCCAGCCGTGGAGGGGCTGCTCAGGCTCCGTGTCCCCACGCGGCCCCTCACCACGCTGACAGTTCATAATTGTTGTCCCAGTGAATACAGGACAAGTTGGCCTCTGAATGGGATCCGGGCTGCAGGAATAATACGCAGAGGCCTCCGGGGCCCGGGTGGGCGGCCTCGGTGGGCTCCCAGGCCCCCCTTGGTGAGGCTGGGGGCCTCCCAGGGTCAGCCACCGCCGAGACTCCGCTCGACAGCCCCGGACGTGGTCTTTCAGGTCTAGGAGCGGGGACCATTTTCACATTAACCGCTTGGCCGAGCCCTCATCGGGCGGGGATGAATAGGCATTTAGTGAATTTACTTAGCGATGATTCCACATGAAATCGTTTCAAAAGATGACATCTTGGGGGAGAAAGGGCGGGAGAGAGTGTGTGGGGGGGAGCTTGTGGAGAAAGCCCCTTTTCACAGCCCAGCCCTGTGTGCTGGCCCAGGGATCTCCCTGGATTGGCTACATGGGTGGGGTGAGGGGGACCCAGCCTCCCACTCTTCCTGGGAGCTCCTGGGGGGGGGGGGGCCTCGCTCCCGCCCCTGTGTGCAAAGTGCTTGCTAGGAATGCTAACGTCCAGTCTCCCAGAGACGGAATCCGGCCGGGGCCCAAGTTTTCCTCTTGTGGCTGTTGCAAGCCTGGTTGTCAATAACAGCGCACACCATATTCAGTTCTGTCCAGATTATGAATGACTGTAGATCTTGTTTGACATTTCACCCCATTCCAGCCTTGCTCACTCCTGCTTACACACACACACACACACACACACACACACCCTTCACTCTGGTGAAGCATTTGCCAAGTGTCTCCCCCCTCCCCCCCCCTCCCCCATCAAGTCATCCATTTCCTCCTTTCCTCTGTGAACACTGAACACGATTACACATCCGTGTTTTGATTCGGACCACGTCCTCTTATCTCTCCTTAGTAACTGGAGCCATGCAAAAACCTTCCTGAAACAAAGTAATACCATAGAGAAACGCGGAAATAAAACCTGACTGGTTAACCGTTACAGAGCTCTGGGTTAAATGTGCCTAAATAAATGAACAATAAAACCCAGCCTGGAAAGTACCAGGGTTGCTTGTGCATGGCGGCCTTGGCTTCCTAGTGGATTCTCGCTGGGTTTTCTTGTCATCTGCCGCGAGGCTACGAGACGCGGATTTCCTTCCCATTCTGCACAGGGAGGGGCAGAGCCAGCCGACCTGGGCTGAGGCCCCGGGCCTTCACAGGGTGTGTTTTGAGGGCACACAGTAGGTGCACGATATGTGTGCATCTTCATGGCTTCCACACGGGGCAGAGAACGAGCGTGGACGGCTTCCACTCTGGGGTACGTAGCCGGTGTGCCGAAGTCCACGGACCCAGCCTCACCCCAAAACTGACTGAATTAGGCTCAGGTGACCCCTGGGCCTTGGCTACCTCAGAAGAGCAGCTGTACAGCAGGGGCGAGGCCCGGTGCTAGTTCTCATCTTTCCGTGGATGGGAAAAGTGATGGAAGGAGCTAAGCTGACTGGACACCGGAGGGCTTCTGGGCCGATTGACCCGTGGAATGTTCTGTACAGAGGAAATGTTCTCACTCCCTCGCGTGGAGCGAATACTTGGAATTGTTCCCGGCATGGAGACACACGGGAAGAGGGGTACCAACCCTCAACACCCAAGAACTCAGGGTGCTGGGGAGAGGAGGCTCACAGGCCAAGCGAGGCCACCTGCGGGCAGAATGCAGCGGCAGGCTGCGCTTCTCGGGCCCCTCCCATTAAGATCCAGAACGTTCTCCAGTGCAAGAGGATGGGCCTCTGTGGGGCAGACATGCACACGGAGGCTGGGAGATGGGAGCTAACACAGACATTCACCCCATCCGCTTCTAGAACATCTCCCCAGCACCCCATCAATGCTCTGCCCCCACACAACAGTAACTCTCCACATATCAGCCCCCCCCCCGCCCCGCCCCTGGCAGCCACCACCCCGTTTTGCTGTAGAAGCTCCATAGAAGGGCAGCTGTAAGAATCGTTTCTTTTTCTGTGACTGGCTTATTTCGCTCAGGGAAGCATCCTCAAGCTTCGCTCGCATTAGGAGTGCCTGCAAGAATTCCTCTCCTTTTCAAGGCTGAGTAATACTCCAACTTGATAAACCACATGTACCGTTTTTTAAATTTTTTTCCTATAGCGACTGTGATTTTTCGACACAAACCAACGAAGCCGTCGAGGTCTACGGAGGCTCAACTGCTGCGACGTGTGCAGGACTCGGGTGACCACAGGATGTGGAGTTTCAGGTTGAAGAAGATGGTCCTTCACCAACCCAGGTAAGTGGTGGAGCACAGCACACTTCATGAACAGGCCAAATACACAGGAAGTCGCTGGTGGGGGACTGGGGGGGGAGCTGGCCCGTCCCCCACACCCATAAAGTTCTCACTTGCAGCAGCCAGACAAAGCACCAAATACCAACAGTGGCAAACACGACACTTGAGGGCCTACTATGTGAGCCAGGCGCGGTTCTAGGCACCCTGCATCTATAAACCCACCCAGTCCTCAGGACCTACGGGGCTCCATGCCAGTCTACTTGCAGTGACATGAACAGGAACACGGATTCACAGGTTTCTTTTGATCTTTGCCAAGACTGAGGTTGGAACATGGGCCTTGAGCTTGGCTTGGCTGGCCTTTGTCACTTCGGCTACTCCTCCAGCCTGGCTTTTTGTTAGTTACTTGGAGGTAAGAGTCTCACGGACTTTCTTGCCTGGGCTGGCTTTGAACTAGGCTCCTCAGATCTTGGCCTCCTGAGTAGCTGGGATGACAGGCGTGAGCCGCCCAGGATTCTTTGCAGAATACAGGACACAGCCCACTGCTATGTCTGATGAGTCC